GAGGGACTGAGGGAGAAGTGGACTCCCCATGGAGCAGGGAGCCCGATGCTGGGCTCTATCCCAGAGCCCTGGGATCATGACCTGAGCCAAAGGCAGACACTTAACCGACTGAGCCACCCAGGCGCCCTGCAAATGTAGATTTTCTTAACTGTGTTTTAAATCTGACTCTAGTTTTTGTCATCCAAAATTTGTATTTTCTATGTTAGTTGAATGAGACTTTACTATCACATATATATAAAATTTAAAGCCACGTTTGGAATTTTGTGAGAGCTGTATTGTCCGTTTTTGTTTTCTCAGGACGCAGAACGTTCTTGGTGAGAAGGGCCGGCGGATCCGGGAATTGACTGCTGTGGTTCAGAAGAGGTTTGGTTTCCCTGAGGGCAGTGTAGAGGTGAGTGAGTGTGGCTTATGCCGGAGATTACTGTGGACCTGGAAATGGTTATTTAGGATGGTACTTCTATAAACCCTTATGGTCATGAAGACCTTAGTTGTGATCACAGAGTATTACAAATGGATTCGTATTTTGTTGAAGTTATCTTAATAAGAAGTTGGCTTCCTGTTATAGTCCTTTTCTGCTTATTTCTGGTGGTTAAGGGATTTTTTGCTTTCAACTTGGGAATAGTAATGGTATGGATTGGCTTCCCCATCAGTTGGTACAGCTGTAGGAGCTAGGGATGGGAGGGCAATAAGAAATTCAGATTATGTCACAAAGTGTAGGCTATATGTGGGAAGTAGAAGTGTTTTAGTACTTGAGGGATGCCGTAGTGATACATGCTCTTATGATGAATGAAGTGATTTTTTTTTTACTGAAAACACTGGGGAAAGTTAACAGGTTTAAGGGTGTGCCCTGTTTCCTTCTTAAAGCTTTATGCCGAAAAGGTGGCCACAAGAGGTCTGTGTGCTATTGCCCAGGCAGAATCTCTGCGTTACAAACTCCTAGGAGGCCTTGCTGTGCGGAGGTAAGTGTCCTGAGACTTTTAATAATTACGTTTTAAAGAGTGGTCAGCGCCATAAGGGGAGTACTCTTCTTGGTGCTTTGGGAATAGAACAAAAACTCCAGGGAGGGGAGGTTAGGATTCCTGTTGAAGTTACTTGGCTCCATTAAGTGTGGGGTTTGTAAAGAGATGTACATAGTCCTGATGGGAAGAGCTTATCTGTGAGCAGGGGTGGACTATAAAGGGCATGAGGTAGCTAGGTTGGCTCTGGAGCTGGGCCTACTGATGAGATTTCAGTAGGAGTTCTTTGTGCAATTTCATTATTGTGAAGTAATTGGAATGCTTTGCCTGGGTGTATGAAATTTAGTCTGTACTTCCTGCAGAGCCCTGGGAGGTTTTTCAGCAGGGGAAGGACATGAGAGCTGTGCTTTAGGAAGGTTGACCTGGTGGGGAGATGGGTGGCAGGAAGGGCTGTAGGTAGGGACAAATAAGAAAGACTGCCTGTCTTCTTTGAATGTCAGCTACACTGCTTAGAACCATGGTCCTCAAAAGCTTGGCCAGCATCACTGCCATCATCAGAGGACTTAGTAAAATAAAAATTCTCAGTCTCCACCCACTGAAATGGAAAGTGCGGGTGTGGCCCAACAACCCGGTCCAGGTGGTTTTTGTACACACTGGAGTTTGACTTGGAAGTTCTGAGACCTAAACCACTTACTAACCTTCTGGACCTTGGATCTCCTATTTGTAAATGGGGGTCATTATATCCACCTCTCCTTTTTGTGGTGATTAAATGAGATGATGCGAAGGAGCTGGAGCCTAGAGTGGTGGGTCTGCCTTTACTTTCCCTGTTGAAGGTGGCAGCTAGCTCTTAGTCTGTCCTAGGGTATGCAGTAATAAATGAGTTGGGGGGCATGATATTTTAAGGCTTAATGTCCGTTTTATAGGCCTAGAAGTCTTTTTCTAGCACTTTAGTCAAGAGAGCTAGTAGTCTACGTTCAGTAGTTAGAGTTCCTAATGAATCTGAATTCTGGAGGTTGTGGAGTATTTAGTAAACCACAAAGGGGCCGCTCAGTGACTGAGCTACTTCTGGGTTCTTACTGATTGCTTACCTGATTGTGAAATGCTGCATTTGCAGAGTGGACTGGACAACCTGTGCTTGAGTTGTACAACCCCCACCATTTAATTGCCAGTTTAGGGGCACCTGGGTGGCTCGGTCAGTTAAGCGTCCGACTCTTGGTTTTGGTTCAGGTTATGATCTAAGGGTCATTAGGTTGAGACCCACGTCCAGTTCTGTGCTGAGTGTGGAGCCTGTTTAAGATCCCCCCTCCCCATTTGTGCGTGCCTTCTCTCCTAAATAAATAAATAAAATAAAAATAAGAGTAAATCTTGAGTCTATAATTGCCTACTTAATTGGCCTGGTGTGAGGCCTCAACTTCACAGGTATTTTTGTTTTATTTTTAATCTTGAGGTGATTCTAATGTGCAACCAAGGTTGGGAAGCACTTAGAAGGAATTGGCATATATTCCTTAAGGAGTCAGCTTAAGATGAGGTGTGATGGGGATGAAGGAGAATTGCCAGGCTCTGGTCAAATGTATTCTCCATTAAAGGAACATTGAAGATAGTGCAGACTAGTGAGTCTTGTGTTTTTGTTCTTTTTAACGTGGTGGTGTGGGGTAGGCTCGAACAGTCTTGTCTTTGGTGATAACAGGTGGATATCTGTCTCTTGTTCTCCCAAAGGGCCTGCTATGGTGTGCTGCGGTTCATCATGGAGAGTGGGGCCAAAGGCTGTGAGGTCGTGGTATCTGGGAAACTCCGAGGACAGAGGGCTAAATCCATGAAGTTTGTGGATGGCCTGATGATTCACAGTGGGGACCCTGTTAACTACTACGTTGATACTGCTGTGCGCCATGTTCTGCTCAGACAGGGTGAGCAGCTGGGAGCACGGGGGCAAAGGGCCTTTAGCAGATAGATACGGTTTTTCATGCGCCCCTCAGTGTTGGGCAGTTCATTTTGGGAGTAGCAGAGCATGTTCATATTCCACTTGGGTTTATTGATGAGCTGTATTGAACTATAAGAAGTAAATTGCTGAGATCAGTCAGCTCTTAGAGTTGGTTTGCTCGTCTTAGCCACCTGTGTACCCTTCAGTGATGACACGATGACGAGTCAGAAAGGTCACATCCTGCTCTTGGTCCTTGTCAGTGCCACGTTCTGTGGCGCTGTGCATGGGTTCCTTTTGCAAAAGTGTCCTGTTCATTGATTGATTAGAGGCATTTGTCTGAGAAGGGACCAGACCCAAGGGTGCTGGAGTAACCTACTGTTGTCTTCCTTCTGCCCTATCCTGTCGTGGGACCGGTGCAACCACAGCTAGATTCTAATTACAGCGTCTTCTAGGTGTGCTGGGCATCAAAGTGAAGATCATGCTTCCCTGGGACCCAAGTGGTAAGATTGGCCCTAAGAAGCCCCTGCCGGATCATGTGAGCATTGTGGAACCCAAAGACGAGATCCTGCCCACCACGCCCATCTCGGAGCAGAAGGGTGGGAAGCCAGAGCCGCCTGCTATGCCGCAGCCGGTACCCACCGCGTAACAGGTGTGTCTCGAGGGGCCTCTTGGGGCGGAATAGGACCCCTTTCCCTTGTCTTCGACAAATAGTATATCCCGTACTGTGGGAAGCACGTAAATACATAAACATTGGACTATACTTGCTTTACAACACAGGTTGGAGCCAGGGGCCCGTTTAACCAGGGATTCTGTAGGGAGGGGTATTTGCTTTGGTCTCCTAAGAAGTTCCTGTGTTTACCCCTGTGTTTGAAACAAGATTTTTCTTTTTATTTGCTTAAAATCAAGGCACTCTTGTTAATAATTAGTTATCTGTTCTTCAGCAGCCCCTTAAGCAGTTAAAACACCAAGGCTCTTCTATGCCCAGTATTTTTTGTTTGTTTCTAGGTGTTCTGTGTGTATATATTCATGCAAATCTTCTAAATGGGAAATGAAAGAACCCAGTATTCAGGTGAAGATTCTGTTCTTACTGTTGTGCTTTATTTGGTTTCAGGGTCTCTTTGGCAGCTGGATCTGGAGACTATTTTAATCTGTAAAGACCTTTAATAAAATCTTTGAGAAAGACACATGGCGTGAATAGACTATGTCCACATTTGGTCTGAGAATTCTGTTGCCCCAAGGAAACATTGCTTGATTGATTTTTTTTTTCAGGGCTGCCTGGCTCACTTTCCCTGCCTGCTTTCCCTGAAATCCTTGATTCAGCTGTGCTTGTGAGGCAAGAGCAAGAACAGGAGGACCCAAACAGAGCTAACCAGAGTAATATCCTGTAAATCTGGTGAAAGCAAAGGCTGATTGCTCACAGGACAGCACCTTGAGAAGGGCTGAGGGTGAGGTGGTTTTGAGTAGACAAACTGGTGTTGGGAGGCCTCAGTACTGCACACGTGTAAAGTGAGATTTGAGTGCCTTGAATAAATGATTTCTGTGCCCACCCCTATATCTAATGCAATACAGGCAGTTATCATAAGGTTTTATTTATCCCTTCTGGATAAAACGAATGGCATCTTGCAGTTTCACTGAAAAATGCTTGAGCTAGACTGCTTAATTATTGTATTTCTGGACTTCTGTAGTTCAGTTGTGAGGGGATTTTCTGTTGTGAAAGTAGCTCAGCTAGTCTGAGCATCCAGAATACTGGGTGCTGGAAACCGGTTAAGGCAGCCCTGGTCATGTGAGACCTCAGTGTCTGGTACTAGGACAGCCAGTCAGGTCTTTGTGCATCAGATTATGTGATTGTTTAAATTCCTTCCTTTCAGTCTACTTAGAACTGGAAGTTGGTGTGTTGGGATTCAGAAGTGCTGTTACTGTCCCACCAGGGGGTGCTGTAGCAGGAACTAGGCACCAAAGTAGTAGCTTGGGAAAGGAAAGTAAAACTCACTGAATTTGCGTGCACCTGTGGGAAACTATGCAAATTAGTGTGCACGTGAAAAGTTTGAGTTACCAAACGTGAGGATCCCTGGATAGCCATTATCGGGTAAGGAAAAGGAGAGGCTTTGGGGTATTTCTTTTAGCCATTTCAAAAAACGACATGAAATAAATGCAGAGCTTAGGTAAGCACTAACGACAGCCCCATGAAGAAATGCAGGTTACCCTAAACGATGTTACCACTACCCCTGGACTTCAAGTGAGTTTTTCCACTGCCTCCTTTCCTTTGTGTCCGTCCCTTTGAAGTTCAAAGTTCCAGGTGTGGGTATCTGGCTGGCTAGTCCTATGTCCAGTCCAGCTGCCTGAGGTGGGGAGAAAGATAGCTAGCCCCTTTGATTTCCATAGTAGAGGTGGGGCCCAGACTTGCACAGTGCTCTTCCCCCTCCCCCCAGTAGGCAAGGTTTTGATCCTGGGTAGCCAAAACTTGTGGAATGGCCCTTGGAACCCACTGATGGAAATCTGGCTGATGGCAACATGGAAGCAAATGCTATCCTTTCGTGGACTTCACCAGAAGGTTACTGTCAAGCTCTAAAGAATTCTAGTTCTTAGGATTCCTGGCACCGGGACAGGCTTCAAGCAGGAACTGGTAGATTAGCTTGTCCATCAGACAAGGAAAGAATAGCTGCTGGAATGTGAGAACTTGGAAATAGGCCCAGGGGCCTAGCAAGGGCCCAGGACCAATGGATAGCATTGTTAATGGAGAACCAGGAGAAGTACAGAAACTGGTGGCATCAGAGGACAATGGGTAGAAGGTGTCTTGGGGTGTGGGGCTCTGCCTCCAGACAGAATCTTTCCTCTGGAGCCCACAGCAGGGTGATAATGGGGTCAGCCAACCCTCTAACTGGGAAATAAGGCAAAGGCTATGGGAATGTTCAAGCCTGGTGGGGTGGAGGATACCTTTCTCTGTAGAGTGCTTTTTTTTAATTTTTTTAGGTTTTTATTTATTTGAGATAGAGAGTACAAGTGGGGAGGAAAGGGAGAAGCAGGCTCCCCACAGAGCAGGGAGCCCGATGCGGGACTCGATCCCAGGATCCTGGGATCATGACCTGAGCCAAAGGCAAACGCTTAACCGACTGAGCCACCCAGGCACCCGGCAGAGTGCTTTAAAAAGGAGACTTGAGAGGTGGTGGGGAGAAGCTAGGCTTTGCAATCAGACCCGGGTTCAAACGTGACAGCAGCACTGATCAACCGAGGTTGAATCTTTCTGATCCTCAGTATCTCAGGGGGCTGTTGGGAGTTAAAGAAGACTATTAATACCTGTCTGTAGTGTTTATCATCAGGTATATTATCTCTCAGGACAAAGGCTAAGAGCCCAGGCCTTGCAGCCAGACTCTGGATTCAAAACCAGTTTCATAACTTAGCAGTATGAGCATGGGGGCATCAAGCATCTCTGAGCCTCTGCTCATCTGCCTCTGATTTCATAGCACAGTGCCTGACCCATAAGAAGTCCTCAGTGAATGTTAGATGTTACTATTGAGTACTTCACCATATCTTCCTGGGAATCAATAGCTTAACTTGATGGTATTGGATTCTCCCCACCCCAACCATGAGGGCTCTGACCATAGAAACCGTGCTTTCTGCTTCTGTTGTGAAGTGGGCATCTCTGGTCAGGTCTCACTACCCCATTTTACAGGTGGTGAATTTGGGCTCTTAGCCATGCCATGTTCCACCTAGTGAATGTTTTTGAGCTCCAGTGTTGCTGTGTGTAAGTGTAGCTGCTTCATGTTAGGGCTTGCCAACACCAGGGCAGGAAAGCATTCAAGTATCTGAGAGTCAACATTTTTCAACATCAAAAGATAGTTGTTCTTAATATTTTTTCTTCCTCAGGAACATGAGATTTTGATGTTACTTTATCTATGAAATAAACCACTTCCCTATTTGTTATTGATCGAAACTACATGTGTAACTTGGTAAGCAACATGACCTTGGTGAGAAGATAATTGTTACATGCCCCGAGCTTATTGTAAACACTTCATTAATCTTCTCAACATCCCTGTAATGCGCCAGTTCCATTACCAGCTTCATTTTATAGCAACTTTAACCCACATCATACATCTTAGCAGAATGTGTGATTTCTCCTAGGCTTTGGAAAATATTTAGAATATCTCACAGTCCCTACTTCTGGTTTGAGAACAAATGTCATGGATAGGTTGGGAACAACTTACCTGATTCTAAACCCTCATTTTTACAAGTAAGAGTCCCAGTGGCTCTGAAATTCAAATGAGACCACGCCTCTGCTGCCCAGTCCTGCGTTGTACTAGCAGCCCAGCCAGCCAGGTGCAGCTGGGCCTTTGTCCACTGATGGACAAATGGAAGTTGGGTTCATCCCCCGCCTTCACCTTCAGTGGCTGGCCAGGGACTGCCCCCATGATCAGCCTGCTCCCACCAGTCCTTTGTGTGGTGAGCCAGAGGAGCTGGACCCTTTGAGTCCCAAATTGCTGAGAGAGGATAGGGCTCCCCCGGCCTTTAAGAATATTTTTGCTTTTTAGAGGGAGGAGAGGGAGAGCACAGACCCAGTAATAGGGCAGCTTTTCCCTTCAGGGATGGGAGACCAGAGGTGATGGATCTTTACTCACTGGTTTTCCCCCAGTACAACAGGAAAAGTAGCCATAGCTATTTACCATCTGGGTCCAATAGACACCCTACCTTTTATATTTTAAGTCACTTTAATTTACAGAAGTAAAAGGGAAAGTGGAAAACGTTTCATTTTATAAATTTTACAAGTATTCAAACAAGTATTTAAAAATACTAAAATTTGGGGGCACTTGGGTGGCTCAGTCAGTTAAGCTACTGCCTTTGGCTCATGTCATGATTCTAGGGTCCTGGGATGGAGTCCCGCATGGGGCTCCCTGCTCAGCGGGGAGCCTGCTTCTCCCTCTCCTGCTCCCCCTGCTTGTGTGCTCGCTTGCTCGCTCTCTGTCAAATAAAATCTTAAAAAAAAAAATACTAAAATTTTAGCAAGCAGTAACAGCACCATTCTGAATATACTAAAAAACATTGAATTAATACCCTTCAAATGGGGGGGGTTTATGGGTTGTGAATTACATCTCAATAAAACTGTCACTTATATATTCACGAAAATAGGTACTTGTATATGTGTGTGTGTGTGTGTGTGTGTGTGTGTGTGAATTAAAACAGCAATTTCATATTTTCCTTGCCTGGAAATACCCAAAAAGAGTACCATCCCTTGAATGCAGTTAAATGCTCATCAGCCACCATGTGTGCAGCTGGAATGTATTCATCTTATAACTACTGATCCCAGATTTCAGATATATCTAGTAGGCTCTAGCTTACTGCTTCTGGGGTTTTGGTTTTGTTTAGTTTTGCACTTGCATTGTCAACAATGAATACTTAAAAAATTTTTGATGGCTCATGATGTTGAAGAGAGGACAGTCATTTTCTTTGCTCCATAATTTTAAAACATTTTTGATTTTGGATTTATAAAGATCAATTTGAAAGACCAATCTAATGAGTTTTAAAAATATCTATAGCATGTTTCCCTATGGTCACCTGAGTACCCAACTGCCTCAGCATGTCTCCACTTATGAACTGTAACAAACATACCAAGTAAATTTTGGGGCATAGGCATCATAAAAGATGAATACTGGACAAAATAGGGTGGTACGAGTCTTTGTCAAAAAACATTGTGTGATGAGACAACCGACAGAATGGGAGAAGATATTTGCAAATGACATATCAGATAAAGGGCTAGTATCCAAAATCTATAAAGAACTCATCAAACTCAACACCCAAAGAACAAAGAATCCAATCAAGAAATGGGCAGAAGACATGAACAGACATTTTTCCAAAGAAGACATCCAAATGGCCAACAGACATATGAAAAAGCTCAATATCGCTCGGCATCAGGGAAATCCAAATCAAAACCTCAATGAGATACCACCTCACACCAGTCAGAATGGCTAACATTAACAAGTCAGGAAACGACAGATGTTGGCGGGGATGCGGAGAAAGGGGAACCCTCCTACACTGTTGGTGGGAATGCAAGCTGGTGCAGCCACTCTGGAAAACTGTATGGAGGTTCCTCAAAAAGTTGAAAATAGAGCTACCATATGATCCAGCAATTGCACTACTGGGTATTTACCCCAAAGATACAAAAGTAGGAATCCGAAGGGGTACGTGCACCCCGATGTTTATAGCAGCAATGTCCACAATAGCCAAACTGTGGAAAGAGCCAAGATGTCCATCGACAGATGAATGGATAAAGAAGGGGTGGTATATATATACAATGGAATATTATGCAGCCATCAAAAGGAATGAGATCTTGCCATTTGCAATGACGTGGATGGAACTGGAGGGTATTCTGTTGAGTGAAATAAGTCAAAAAGAGAAAGACATGTATCATATGTTCTCACTGATATGAGGAATTCTTAATCACAGGAAACAAACTGAGGGTTGCTGGAGTGGGGGGTGGGGTGGGAGGGATGGGGTGACTGGGTGATAGACACTGGGGAGGGTATGTGCTCTGGTAAGCGCTGTGAATTGTGCAAGACTGTTGAATCTCAGATCTGTACCTCTGAAACAAATAATGCAATATATGTTAAGAAAAAAAAAAAGAAGAAGGTAGTGGGAGGGGAAGAATGAAGCGGGGGAAATCGGAGGGGTAGACGAACCATGAGAGACAATGGACTCTGAAAAACAAACAGGGTTCTAGAGGGGAGGGGGTGGGAGGATGGGTTAGCCTGGTGGTGGGTATTGAGGAGGGCACATTCTGCATGGAGCACTGGGTGTTATGCACAAACAATGAATCATGGAACACTTCATCTAAAACTAATGATGTAATGTATGGGGATTAACATAAGAATTAAAAAAATAAAAAAAACATTGTGTGATGAAATCCTCCCTGTTGAATGATTTAAAATGCCATATTTCCTGTCTGTTTTTAGAAATATGTTGTGTACTCACCAATTCTTGAGTTTAAGAAACATTCATGTAGGAAAGATTTTGTTTATATGACCAATTTCCCCATCCTCAGACTAGAGTGCTACTGTGTGTCTCTGCATTCATTTTCTGATTTGTCTGTATTAAGTGTGAAAGATCCTCTGTCCGCTTTCTTCTCTTGTGTCATTTTGGGTGGAAAATGAAAAATCCTGAATTCTCAGCCAACGTCTCTGGACTTCTTGTACCTTCTTGAAAGATGATCTATAGTACTTTAGGGAATACAGTATGGAAACTGAAGGATGATGTGATAGTGATAGTGATGGTGTAGTCACTATTCCATCTTCCGGGAAATACCATCCTTCCATTTTATCATCATAATCTTGTTTGGGAATAACTGATGAGTAACATGAAATAATTTTTAGGATGATGAAATAGCAAAGTTTTTCAAGATAGAGGAAAATAAATTCATCATGATCTCATAATGTATTTTGGATTTATATAAGAATCTAATGAATCCATATGGTGATTGTAAGATAGAATGAGTATTATGTGTTTTTTGAAAGGTAAGTAAATTTCTCATTTTGTTTTGTTTAGAAGCCCACTAAGAATAACAGTCCTAAAATACCAATCCTTATAAATAGTTAGAACTTCTCAAAAATGAAACTCAAAAACTAAATTTGGGTTCAGTGGCTTCTGATGGCATATGAAGAGTTAAGTGTGTTCTCAGCTGGGGAGAGTATGGCAAACCCATGTGACTAAGGAGTCATATACTCAGAACTTGTGGTTTGGTTTCCTGTTGGATAGCGACAGTCCCTCTCATTCAGCAGGCAGCCCAGGTGGGGCAAAGAGCAGTGGGCTAGGAGCCAGAGAGGCCCTCCATATATGGTCTTGGTCAAACCCACAGTCCTAGGAAATTAGGACACATGGGTGTGTAACTTTTGCTTTGTATCGTGTTCTGTGAGCCTCACTCACCAGGGAGATGAACCATGTCTCCCCCTCATCCGACTGGAAGCCCCTAAAGGCAGGGACCAAATCCTATGAGGCTGGGATTTCCCAGGGTGGAAATGATGTACAGTAGCGCCAGCTCCCCCTCCCCCCCCAAAATTCTGTGGTTTCACTTTCTGCGATTTCAGTTACCTGAGATCAACTGTGTTCTGGAAGCAGATGATCCTCCTTCTCACTTAAGTCAGGTCAGTAGTAGCCTAATGCTGCATCATGATGTCTGTGTCATTTGCCTGATTTTATCTCATCCTGTAGGCATTTTACCATCTCACATCATCACAAGAAGAAGGGTAAGTATAGTTCAAAAAGGTATTTTGAGGGAGCCCACATTCACATAACTTTTATTATACTGTATTATAATTTTTGTTATTATTTTTAATCTATTATTACTGTGCCTAATTTATAAATTAAACTTTATCCTAGTTATGTATGTATAGGAAACACAGTGTGTGCAGGGTTTGCTACCATCTGTGGTTTCAGGCATCTGCTGGTGGTCTTGGGATGTATCCCCCATAGATAAGATACTGTATTTTCTACTTCTAAATAACTCATGTGCTACCCTCCACACTCTTTTCCCAGATTAGCTTTCTCAGATTAGCAGAGCCTGGGTGAGGCTGCATGGAGACAGCAGGCTTTGGAGATAGCTGGACCCAGGAATCCTGGCTCTGCCACCACTCACTAGACCAGTGACATTAGTAGACAAATCACTTCACAACTCTTGAGTCTCCATTTCCTCATTGGTTAAGTGGGGCGGTAGTACTTACCTCACAGATATTATAAAATAGAAATCCAGGAAACTTTGATGTAGCATACAGAGGTGGGTGCAGGGTGGGCTCTTGTTCCAGGCATTGGGGAATAGAGAAATAAAGCTGACATCTTTCCTGCCTCAAGAAGCATCCTATGGGTATGTCAGGGAAGACTAGAGATGTCATATATAAAGGCCTGGCCATATGCCTCGTGGTAAAAGGGGGTAGATAAGGGCATAAGGAGAGAGGAGTCAGCTCTGGAGTAGAGGGTGTTGGATCTGTCCAGGCAGAGAGAGCAGGAAAGGGCATTGGCGCTTGGACAGAGCATGAATGGTCATTGTTGGGGAAATGGGGTGGTCTCCTTGGCACACAGGAAGTGCCCAGCCCAGGTGAGGTGCCCATGTTCTCAAGATCTTACCCTGAATTTGCCCCAACCTTTTCCACTCAGGCTTTTGCTTGGGTGGTTAAACAATACAGCACTTTGCTTTGTCCTGGGTGTTATCCTTGGGGTGGGGACAGGCAGGCTCTGAGGGGCTGGGCCTCCCCACTACTCCCCTCCCCTCCTCTTTGCCATTATCAGCTGTGTCCAGATGGTCACAGGCTTCCTAATCTGAGATCATCAGAGGGTAGCAGCTCAGCTGGGACCCAGGCCTTTGTGCTAGGCTGTGATGGGCCAGCCCCAGCTGGAGAGACCCCACAGATAGGGCCCTGGGGCTTTGGAAGACAGGGAGGGGCATGGGGCTGTGCCGGAGGGGATGCAGGGAGCAGATGATAGCTCTTCAAAAGGCAATCTGAGTGCACATGATGGGGAGCCCCAGATGGGACCTGGCCAGCTCCTCTGGGCCTCAGAAACACAAGCATAGGACCTGAACCCTCTGGGTCTCTGCCTGACAGAATACATGACATCTTTTGTCCCCTCTTTCCTCTGAGCTCATGCCTCCCCCTCTAGCAGTTTTATGTTGCTGCCCATAGAGCCTCAGGCCACCCGGGTGCTTATGATGGCATGAGGGGCTCATGCCCCCTGGTGATGTTGGGGAGCTCACAGGTCCAGGTGCAGAGCTGGGTTGGCTGGGTTCTCCGGCCTGGGCCTGCAGCTTGCTGCGAGCCTTGGCCTCAGGGCTGCTCGGTGTCCCACACTGTTTTCTGTTTGTTTCTGCTTCTCTGATGAGGCGGGGAGGCCTACCTTGGCCGTGACTTCTAGCAGTGAGACTGGTTTGTAATCCCGTTTTTTTAAAGCTTTATCCTAGAGTCTGAACCCCAGAGCTGGAGCTTCTCCCTTTCTCATGGTTTTATAATTCCACTGTTGCTGGTCCTTGGACATGTTTGCTTACTTATAAGCCTAAGCCTCTATCTTTTTAGTAGTTTGGCTTTTAATTTTATCTGTTATTGCTAAGTGTTTGGAGAGGGTGGTTTAGAAAGAGAAACATCCTGACCAGAAATGCTTCATAGATTCTGAAGCTTCATGAAGTCTTATGAGTCATGGACTCTGCCAATTACTAAGTATGTGATCTTGGGAAAGTCTCATCTTTTAAGGCAGTTCTTTTTCTGTAAAATACAAATCTTAATAACTAGCTCATTAAAAGTTAAAAAAATGCCAGTAACCTCGTATTTAAGGACAGTGATTACCTTTGGGAGGAATGTGGGAAGGAATGGGTTTGGAAATGGAGGTGCCTACAAAGGCATTTGTAACAATCTTTCTTAAGCTAGATGGTGGAAACATTTATTGTAATTCTTAAACTGTACAAAAATATATACTTTTTGTGCATGAAGTATTTCATAATTTTTAAAACATGTCCACACTGCCATTTTGAAGGTAAACAAGGTAACATATGAAGGTGCTTTGTAAAGAGTCAAAGCAGGGAGCAGATACTGGGTATTACTTCTCCAGACAAAGCAGGCTTGAGCTGGAACACAGACCCAACCTTTGAACAAGGTTTTATTTCGGGCGCCTGGGTGGCTCAGTTGGTTAAGCGACTGCCTTTGGCTCAGGTCATGATCCTGGAGTCCTGGGATCGAGTCCTGCATCGGGCTCCCTGCTCAGCAGGGAGTCTGCTTCTCCCTCTGACCCTCCCCCCTCTCATGTGCTCTCTCATTCTCGCTCTCTCAAATAAATAAAATCTAAAAAAAAAAAAAAAATGAACAAGATTTTATTTCTGTAAGAAGGAGGCAATAAGTTAAGGGGCTATTTACATGGAGGTACCATGAGGGGAGCAGTGGTGAGCCTGAGTTCTCCCTCCTTTCTCTGCTTCCTGGCTCAGGCTGTTCAAGTTTGAGTCACCTGCCCAGGCTCTGAATGATGGTAATGCAGCCATGGGAGCTGGTGCAGCGCTGTAGGGATGGCTGGGCCTCCACCTGCCCATTGCTGGGGTCAAAGGTGAAGACCTTGTTGGTGCTCTCCCCAAGATCATCCCGCCCACCAAGGATGTGGACCTTCCCGTCACACACAGTCACGCCACAGCTCTCCTGGGTAGACAAACAGAAAGATAATCAGCTATGGGGTCCAGTGTGGGGCTCCCTCTGTCCCAGCTGGCCAGTCCAGACAATAAAACCTTGACCCACAGAATATGAGCAGGCAGTCTGGATGGCAGAAAGGCAGGAACTGAGTCGGTTTGAGTTCAAGCTCTGGCTTGACCCTTACTACATAGCTTTAGACAAGTCACTTAAGCTCCCTGGGCCTCAGTTTCCTCCCCTGCAAAGTAAGAATAATAATAATAGTACCTTCTTCATAAGGTTGCCTTAACAGTTAATGGGGTTAAGCATGTAAAGCATTTTACATAGTGCCAGGAAGACAGTAAGCACTCCAGGAACAGTGACAACAATCATCACCACCACCACCGCCCTAAGATCTCAGACTCAGAGAAGCCAGAAATCTCAAGCTCTTAGAATCACTGAAGGTCAGAACTGGCAGGGACTACCAATCCAACCACACCCCTATGTAGTCTCTCTGGAATTTCGGGGAAGGGGACAAGAGGTGGGGGAGGCCAGGAATGCAGGGGACAAAGCCTCCAGGGCCTGGACCTCCCTGCTCTGATATTACTAGGGCAGGGGAACTTAACAAGTCCCTTCTCTACCCTGACCTCCCCGCAACAGGCAACCAGCTGGTGGCCTTCAGGACAAGAGACTTCAGGGTCATTTAGACCAAGACCCTCATCCAAGGCTAAAGCACTTGGAACTGGGGTTCCATGCTCTGCCTTAACATGGCTTAACTGGAGGCCTTGGGCGAGGCCTCAATCTCTCTAAGGCTGGTCTCTTCATCTGTGGAACACAAGGCTCATTATTCTAATGAGGACAAAGCTAAGGAACTAGGTATAACTGCCTAGCATGGAGTCAGAGACAGACTCAACAACCTCTGAGTTCCACATCCTTAGACATGGGACTTTGCTCTCCCGATCGGAACCAGTACCAAGGCTGTACCTGGGAGCCTCTACTTACCACGGGGCTGGGGAGGACAGCTGCCTCCCCCCAGACATCTGTGCCAGGGTCATAGGTGAAGATTTTGCTCATGAGGCCCCCTACTACATAGATGGTGCCCTCAAGGGAGACAGCCTCGAGGCACCGCTGTGAGAAAGGTGCTGGTGATCGCAGGCTCCACCGGTCCTCCTTGGGGTCAAAGCACTGCACCTGAGGGGCAGGAGGAGGGGCTGTGGTGAAGCCTCACCACCCCCCCCCAACTGCCCTGCTGCCCACATCCTCCCACCTCCCCCGTAGGGGGACTAATTCAACACATTTGCCTCTGTCTTCCAGACCTGAGCTAGCATTGCGGGGGGGGGGCGGGGCAGAGGAGACCCACCATCCCTGCCTTCAGGTGTGCTCAGTCTCGTTCCACATTCTGGCCCCAGCCCTGGACTCCCTTTGTCCAAAGCCTCCTCATCTTTAAAGGTCCAGGAAAGGTCTGCATCCCAGGAGATGGAAGTACCATCTGCATTAGCACTGTAGAAGGTCCTCAGAGAGCAGGCCCTCCATAGAAATGCATTTCTTACTGCATACATTGTCAACCCACTTCCCTCCCCCTGGTGCTCTGAGCTCATGACAAGATCCCAGCTAGGGTATCTTGCAGCCCCCATCCCTACAACTGTTCACAGGCTTCTCAGGCCCACCAGTGTTCACACTTTCCAGAGTTTCTGAGGGCTTATACTACCTGCCTGTTCATCTGTATTCCGTTTCCTCAGTTGTTTCCTTGGAGACTCCTGGAATGGCCTATATTCAATCAGTGCTGCACCAGAGGGCAGTTCCCCCAGCCAGCCCCAGGAACGGGGGCGTGTGTGTGTGTGTGTGTGGTGTGTGTGTGTGTGTGTGGTGTGTGTGTGTGTGTGGTGTGTGTGTGTGTGTCCTGCGGAATAAAGAGGGGTGAGGTATCCTAATCTGGGAAAGATTCAGATCCCAGGACCGCAGACTTGTGTGGCCATCAGGGGAGGGAAGAAGCTGCTATGAAGATTAATTTTTATTCACAGAAAGCCTAAATGTCCAGCAACAGAAAATTTGGTTGACAGACTATGGTTCATCCACCCTGTAGACTATTACAATCGAAGTGATGGCTGTGAAGAGTTTCTAAGCATGTGGAAAATGCTTACATTTAAATGAGAATAAAAAGCAGAATGCAAAATTTTACTACCAGTAAGAACACAAAACTAAAACACAAAAGTAGATTCAGAGAAAGCCTGCAAAGCAATGCACCAAAATATTAATAGTAGTTATCCTTTAGTGGTTGGCTCATGGGTGGTTTTTTCCCTATTTCTGTGTTTTCTAAAATTTCAAGTGTGTGGGTTTGTTTTGTTTTGAATGAAGGAAAAATGTTTTAATTGATCCTACCCTTGCCCTAACTTAATTTTTAAAATCTATGAAACCCATATGGCACCAGCTTAAATATTCAGGTCTGGACCCGCTGTGTGACCTTGGGGTCATCTGTCTGAACTTTCTTGCTGAAACAAGGGGGTCACTCCTCAGGGCTGTTGAGACTGAGAAAACGGATGAGGACGTGAAGTGCCAACTCCGGAGTCTGGCACACAGCCCTGAGGAGTGACCCCCTCGTTTCAGCAGGGAAGTATTACACACAGCAGGCCTCCAGCGCCCTGCCCATGCCCACCTTGTTGGTGCTGAGGCCGTCCTGCCCGGCGCCCCCGACCACGTAGATCCTGCCCGCGCAGGACACCACTGCCGCTGAGCTCACGGCCTCCAGGAGGGGTGCCGCCGCCGCCCAGGTGTTGGAGAAGGGGTCGTAGCGTTCTACACTGCGCAGGCGCCGAAGGCCGTTGAAGCCACCCACCGCGAACAGCTGCGGATGAGGACAAGCAAAGGTGGGATGCTCTGCTATGTGCGGGGAGAAACTGTCCCCAGACTCACAGGAGGTACATTCCAGCACTGCCAGCGCCTGCACGGCCTCCCTTAGCGGGTTTCTTCTATTACCTGGGGATAAGCATATCCGTCTCTGGGATGGGTATTAGACCTGTCAAATATCTGGCACCAAGCTGATGCTTAGTAATAGCTAGTAATTTACTGAGGGCTTATCACCTTATTTAAGTGATCCTAAGAAGCAATTTTATTTTCTTTTCTGAATTTGGGATGTAGCTTACAAAGATTATTACTTTTTTTTTTTTTTTCAAAGTGGCAGGGTCAAAATTCACACCTAGTCTGGCCCCAGAGCCCACACTTTTGACCCCTGACCACTAGGTATTATTATCAGCATTATCATGTAACTTTGGGCAAGTATCTTTCCTTTTTGGTGCTTAAGATCCCATCTTTCAGAGAGACTGTCTTACAGGACCTTCCCCCAGGAAGTCCATTGATCTGTACCTTGAGCCAGAGGGCAGCAGCTGCTGTGTGTCCCTACCTGCCCCTGCACGACTGCCATCTTGTGCCTCCACCTGCCCTTGAGCAGCGAGGCCACCTTGATCCAGGTGTGCCAAGGGGTACTAAACATCCACACATCACGGCTGTTGATGTGGCCTCCTAGGGAAAGAGAAGCCACTGTTGACTCCAGGCCCTCTTGGGGTCAACAGCACCCCTAAAGACCTAGAAACAAGGGCCCCCAGATCCAAAGGAAGAGTTAAGGGTAGACTGTGTTTTGAATGAATGGTGGGAAGGTGTGAGGACAAGGGGCAAGGAGTTTTGTGGGGAGAGGCCTGAGAGATTTAGGGAGAAGGAGCTGATTTTCACTGGGTGCCTTATGGTGGTATGCCAGGCTCTGTACTCTGGGAAGCAAAAAGGGGGCCACTTAGAATTCAAACGGAGATAAGAGTGCAAAGTGTGCCCAAATAAGCATCAGGAATGTGCTGGGGGCAGAGGGAGAGCAGAGCCACCTACACTGGGATAGGAGAAGGTAGAGAGTGACTCAGTAACCCAGCCTCATTTCTGCACTTACCTTCATGATTTCATGTCTGTTCTCATTCCTCCAAGAGGTGTTAGGATTATTATACACAGTTTACAGACAGAAAACTCAGATGTGGCTTAGAGACCAGGAAGGCCCTATTGAAGGCCCCACGGCCTTTCACTCTAGATCAATGACCAGAACCAGAACTTCTAGTCTCCCAAGCTGAGCACTGGTATGCCCATGGGGCTAGGCCCTGAAATGCAAACTGTGGACTCTTCGTCCCCGTTCCTCCTGGGGCTACTGACCAGGGACTTACCTCTCAGGAGCAGCCTTCCCAAGGACAACCCTGACTGCATCCCTCAGCCTGAGCCCATGACTCAAGCCCCAGCTCTGTTTTGTAGCCCCTGCCTCTGTGTATACCCACCAGCACCCAGCAGAGGCCCTTCATGTTGTTCACAGGCCATCAGCAGCCTTGGATAAGTTGTCCAGTAATAAAGTGTGGCCTGGATGGTCCTTGAGGCCTTTCTGGCTCATTCTTCTGCTCCTTATCCTTCCCAGACACCCATTGCTCCCTACAACAAGTGCAGTCTACCTAGGCCTGGAGTCAAAGCCTCCCTGATCTAACTTGACTCCCTTTCCTGCCTCATCTACAATACCTCCCCTCCTCTCCCAGATGCACTCAACCTGCACTTTGGAGACCCGAGTACCTGGGGTTCCTTTCTGCACATTCTGATCTTCATACCTTTGCCTATGCTGTTCGCTCCAGATTTTCAAGGTCCAGCTGAAAAGTCTGGTGGCAAAGTGAAGTCTCTCTGTCTCCCATTCTCCAGGGGAGCAGGGGCTGTTTTATTCTCTCTCTAGGGCCTGGACCTCAGGGAGGGCACAATCCATTGGTATCAAACCAATCCGTGTTTCTCCTAGCTTTACCATTTTTGAGATAATGGGAAAATTCTTAACCTCCCTGTAAAATGGGGTTGTAGGGGAAATTGAGTAATATAAGGTGTGTAGCATAATGTTCTGCACATAGTTGGCTAAAGAAAGAGAAGTGACTAATAGTAATACAAATTGAAGTGGATATTGCTGAAAGAAGGTCAGAGTCATACCAGTGACTGGCCCTGCAGGACTACATACCACTTCAGCCAATAGCTGTAGGTTATTGGGGAAAATCCCACCCCCACCTCGCGGTTGGAGAGAAAAAGAGAGTGGCTTGAGGGAGGCAAAGAGCCAATCCTGTGGGGCTCCCGCTGCGGCCCTGCCCTCACCCGAGACATAGATGTCATTGCGGAGAGCACAGGCAGCGAACTCTGAGCGTGTGTAGCCTGGGAAGCTAGGCAGTGGGGTCCAGCGCCGGCTCTCTGGATGGTAGGCGTCAGTGAAGGGCAGCTTCAGGAGCCCCTTGCGGTCGCAACCGCCGATGACCACGATCACTTCAGCTAGGTCCATGAATCTGGCGTGGGGATAAGCCCAATGCCTGTTGACCCGCACCCAAGTTTTGGCCCTCTCTCATCCTCTCGTTGACCACACTGTACCGTCCTGCTGCCCTTCCATGCCCTTATGCCCTTTTGCACTCCCTGCCTCCCAGTCCCATGCTGGACTCTGCCACCTCCAACCTCCTTTCCTAATATCAATGGGAAGAGAGTCACCAATCCTTAACCCCAACTACTGACACCTAAATTACAGGGAAAGGATCTTTACAGAGCCCTTACCTAGAAAAGTCACCTCGTTTAATTTTTATGATACTTTTATTAGGCGGGGGTTACTACTCCTTTTGCAGAGGAGGAAACAGGCTCACAGACTTTGGCTTGCCAGAAGTCGGAGTCAGTAAGTGAGAGAGCTGGAATTCAGCCAACCCAGGTTGGCTGCCACTAACCCATTCTCTTTACCCTTTTCTGCCCTTCATTCCCGACTGCCAGTTGTGCTGCCTCCCTCCTACTGTAACTATTTCCTAAACCCATTCCCTAATTCCACTGGACCAGGATACACACCCTTTCAGTAAAACATTCTCCCCTCCCACTAACCAACCCCTCAGGCTTCTGACCCCACCAGAATTTCCAAACCAAGCCACCGGCTTCCTACCTAGTTCCTTTTACAAATATTGAGCATCTTCTTTGTCCCAGGCCCTGAGCTTAGTGTTGGAGACACAGTGTGGTAAGACAGAGGCATCCTGTCTTCTATCCCCGGGAGGGCACTGCTTGGACTACGTCTTGGACTACTCCACCCAAAGTCTCCCGGTCTGGCGTTCCAGGGGTGGGAGAGTAAGCCTCTCTCATTTTTTCCAGGCCCTATTTTTATCCCTTACTAGACTGAGCTCTTGGAAGGTAAAGGGTATTTCCAATTACTCCCGAGTCCCGGACACCCAGCACAAGACCTACACAGAAACAGCGCTCAGAATTACGGATGGATGGGCAAGAGGAAGGATGTGTGCAAGGTGTGAGATCCCTACCTCTCCCCCACTGGCCTGTGAATTCTCAAGGGCAGAACTCCCAATACCAAGCCCATGAAATGTGTGAACGAATGGGCAGAATTAAAGGATGCTACAGGTATGAGTGGTTGCAGAATCCGGGATGAGGACGGGTGGAAGGCAAGGGGGCAGGGGGCCGTACCTCCGCGGCCGGGCCCGCAGCGCGCCGACCTCGCGGCCCAGGATGAAGCAGGCGCGGGCCTCGAGCAGCAGCGGGCGACACTCGCGGCTGGCTTGCAGCAGCTCGTCGGCCTCCACCTTCTCCAGAAAGTAGGCGGGCGCCAGCAGGGGCAGGCGCACGTGCTCCAGCAGGCGCCGCAGCTGCCCGCGGCGGGCCGGC